TATGTTTGATATTAAAATCGTGTGAATAAGAATCGAGATATTAGCAGATTCCAGGCTTGGGACCTCTAAAAGGCTTGTCAGAAGCAGCGTCGTTTGAACTACAAAAATCGGATCTATCTGGAGGGTGGGGAAAAAATTCGGAAAATCTTATCTGCTGCGAGTAAAAGGGGAGAAAATAGCTAAAATAAGTAAAAAAGAGAAAGGATTGGTAGCTATGTTGTTTGCATTTTCTGTTTCTCTTTGAACATCGGTAAATTTTCTGAAAAAGCGGAATACTTATAAAAAAAAAAAAATTTTAGAAAATCTGAATTTTTGATAAAAAAAAAGCTGAAATTTAAGAGATAAAAGTGTAAAAAGCGGAAAAATCTCATCCCTGTAAAATAAAATAAAAATAGGAAAAAAAAATTTCAAAATAGTTTTTTTTACTCTAGATAAAGAAATGTGTGATTTCCATGCAAACAAAAAAAATAGAATAATGTAAGAAGACAGGAACGAATTTATTTTACCAATCAGTTCAGAAAAATGTGAAAATAATCAAGAAAAATTCAATTTTGAAGAAGCCTCAAATGAAAAAACATGACAGGTTTTAAAAATATCTACAGATCTACCTGTACGTTTAATGGATGTGCTGATAAAATTTTAGCACCTACAATTTAGATACACGAGTAAAGAAAACTATCACACATGCTTTTTTTAAAAATTAAAACCAAATAACGAATATAACCTCTAACTATTGAAAGATATTACTCATTAATTTGTTAAAGCAAGATTTAAAATCATAACATTTTGTTTACCTTTATCTTAAATTTGTTTTGTTTAATGCATATGCTTCATCCAAACGTAACTTTTAAATCAAATTTAGTACACTGATCAAACACAACACAATTTGAAAACACATATTTTTCTGATGCAATATTCAAGTAAAGTTAAAGAATACATTAATACTGTTAAACAATATAACTATGACTTGAAACTTTTCAAGCATCATACAATGGTAATATTACCTTTTGGTTGCTTATAGCTGTGATAGACACGCAGTCCCATGGGAGAAGAAATACCATTTGCAACAACTTCTACATCTTTGCCCGTAAACTTATCTACTTTGGATATACTTTCTGATTCCCAATCAGACCAATACACCCAATCCTAGAAGCATTAAAAAAATATATATTTCATTAAAATAATGTTTTCTAAACACAAGATTTACATTAAATTGTTTTAATACCTCCTGTTTTAAAGAATAGTAAATATATCTAGCTAAAGTTCATTTCAAGAAATATTATAGAAATAAATTATCTATATTTCTTAAACTAGAAAAAAAAATTAAATTATGAAAAAAGTCATGCTTAATTTTTCTTAACATTTTTGAATAACATTTATTTCACATTTATTAACATATATTTTCACAAAATTGCAGATTGTAGGAGTTAATTTCTTTTTCTACAATTATTTATTGGAGTTTGGCTTAGTAAGACAACCTCAACCATCAGATTTTTCAAACTTTTCAACTTCTTAAATTTTCATTGGTTATCACAAGTCTTTGTACTTTCCCCAGAATTAAAATCCTTTAAAAGTCATATTACTTTCTTTAAGTTAAAAAAATAATAAAAATATTCATAAGAATGTAAATGATTGACCTTCAGCACTTATAAACCTCTATATTTTTAACAATAAGTTAATGATAAAGTCAATTTTCTTCTTCTCAATCCTAGTGTTCACTAGATTAAAAGTCTCTAGTATATGTCTCTAAAATTATATTTTCTCTTTTGGTTTTTAAGGACTCTTACTCTTGTAAATTTAAACATAAGACCTATTTCTTAAGACCCCAAGTTATAAGTTTTTTTTATGTGTGATTGTAAACTCTTTTTTATATAGTTTTATGTCAATACTGTGTATATTGTATGCATATAAAGACAACCACATGAATATTAATTCATGTGCGATTCAATTTTTTGAGCAAAAATAAAGTATAACATTTTAACACGCAAAAGAATGTTTACTTCACTTTTATCATGATGTGTTGTTTCTTTCTTCAATTCTATGATATTTTTTGAAGAATAAATTTTGCCAGATATTTTTAAGGCATGAAATTTCGAAACATCTTTATTTTCTTTGAAAATGTTACCTTTCATTTATTGAATAATGTTGGTCATTTTATTTTTTCTCATAACTCATTAATTTATTATTGTATCCACCTTATTCTAAATTTTAAGGTACCAATCTGCTCACAGTCAACCTTGCATAATTTGACTTCTGAGCCTATTGTGTTACACTTCTGTTCTGTATTACTACATTTCTTAAACATTTATGTTCCCCTTAATTTTATTAATTCCTTTAGATTCTATATTTTGGCCGTAATTTGTTTGTTTATTTACTTTGAAATTTAAATCTCCATTCAATGACTGAAAATATTTAATATCCAAATACTATTTAAAACACTCTTTTATCAAGTTATCCTCATGCTTCGGTTCGGTGTCTATCTTTTAACCTCCATTCCCAAACATAGTTTCATTGTTATATTCTTCTGGCACCAACTTCTTTTTGGGCACTACAGTCTATGACAGGCCAGGGCCATACCAATAGGTTTTTGCCATCTTGATCTATTACTTGATCTGGCACCAACTACTTATTCAATTATTCCATTTTATTGATATTATTCAATTTGTAGCATATGCTGATCAGTCTGAGTGAGAATAAAATTCAAAGTTCTTATTTCATTATAGTGCACTCAAGTATGCATTTTAATAAAATCACAGAAGCTACTAATTAATAACACAGGATTACACTTTTTTTAAAGGTTAAGAACACAGCTACAAAAGAATAATATTTCAAAAAATAGGGTGTCTTTTAAATTTGACTGAACTTACTTCGAATACGTCCAAAGCAAATGGATGTTTGATGGCAAAGGATGAGGATAATACGACACGCTGGTTAGAACCATCGTAATCAGCACTACTCAGTGTGTGAAGCTTAGCGTCAACCCAGAAGATTTTTTTAGTCACAATGTCTAAATTAGAATGATAACATATAATTATTTGAATGAATTCAAGTAAATTAGTAAAATACATTTAAATAAATTACGTTATCTAGGATGCATTGCCAAATCTTTCAAAAAAAAAAAAAATAATAAGCACCTTTTAAGTACTTTTTAAGCACTCAAAAAATATATTAAGTATTATGTATGTTAACAAAATTCTAAATAATTTCCAAAGACTTTACATGAGCATGATAAAATAACTAGTTTCTGACAAAGAACCCTTTTCTTGATCATATTAGCCATTATAAAATAATCGAGAGATTTTTTGGTTCAATATCAGAGGGTGGAAAATGAAGTCTGAAATTGAGAATATCTTGCAAAATTCAGCAGAGTTGCACGTGAGAGCAATATTCTCACCGAATCCAGCTTAGTATATGAATGTGCGGACTCGCAAGTATTAATCAAACATGTAAAATGATTGGCGCTTTCATATGCTAACGACCAACAGTACACCGAAATAGATTGCGGCTGAATAAATTGTGAAAACGTTGAATAGAACAATGTGAAAAACACGCTTTTAGATAATACAAGGCAAAAATCGACATTCCCTTTTCGAAAATGAGATTTTAAAAAAGGGAGAATTAAGCACTTTTTAAAAATACCCAATGGGAAAAGCACCTACAAGCACTTTCTAAAAACCCTACACACTATGGTTATCATTGCATCAAATATTTGAAAGACCAAACCAGAAGCAATGACGTGGCACATATACCATAATCAGGGAAAGAAATTTACTCACTGGTCCAAAGAACCAGGTACTAAAAGGTGATACTAGTCTGTCCACATTTTCTCTAGTCTGTTTACAATTGATTTGTAATTTTATTTAATGAAAAATTGAATGTCAATGAAAAATTAAAATACAAAAAATGTGTAAATGATTTATGATGAAATATGCTATTTTGTGGTACCAAAACAAAACATGAAACTGAACATTAAAAAACAGGAAATTAAATAACCAAAACACCATATAAACCCTATATATCGATTGCTTGTCCAGGGAGCGGATAATTACTTTATGGTGATCCGAAACTAATTTTAGTGGTCCCAAACAAATAAACCACCGTTAGTTACAAAACCAGATAACTTTGCAGTACACGGAAGAAAAAACAGCAATAAAACAGAATTACACTAATAATTAAGATAAAATATGCTATAAAAGACTAAAACGCGAAACTGAAAATCAAAAATGCAAAATAACATATCCCTTTTAGCTGATCCAAGGAACAACTGATTATCACCTTCATTCAAGTTAGATTTTAGTGAACCTGGACAAACAAACAAGAGTTAATTTTAGACATTGATATTTTTGTATTACATGGAGGTTGCAAAACAATGGCAATAAAATCTTCTTAGTTTTTAAATACACGGGAAAATAGCAAAATTATGATTCTCCTTATAATATTTACAGGGAAAAATATAAGAATTTATTTTTATTTTTAATGACATGACTTTAAGAAAATAAGAAACTATCTAAAAACAACTTTGAACAATACATAAGAATGCTACATAGGTTATTTAAACAAATTTATATATTGAGTAGATAAATTTATCACAACAGATTCACTGCATAGTTAAAATACTGGATTATTTTACATTAATTAGAAAGAGTCTTTGAAAAATTTACCAATTGCAAGTCCATTTGGCCACCTTATATCCTGAGAAATAACAACACTGCGATGAGTGCCATCCATGCCAGCTCGTTCAATTTTGGCAGGTTCTCCCCAATCGGACCAAAACAACCACCTGAAACATTTAAAACTATTTTATACCAAAAAAATAGTCTTTATCTACTTTGAAATATTCAGTCAATTCATTGTGTGAAAAGCAGACATTTAACACTAATCGTACTGACAAGTCATAAATGTAGATTTTCCAATTATCATAGAAGAGTCGCGGTGGTTTAGGGAAGAGCGTTCGACCCAAGTTCGAATTCCAGCAATGGCTAGTCATTACGAATTCTGATTTCTGTTCGCACTGATCACAGTGTTGATGTGAAAATATCCTTCGTGGTAAAAGGATTATGGGTTGGAGTCCGCTTGCTGTCAGGCTAACCATAGGAGGTTTTGGTCGTTTTCCACTCAATGAAACGCAAATAAGAGCTAGTTCCATCAAAAGTCCTCAACGACAGCTACTTTCTCCCAATACTTGATGCAGAAGCTCCCTTGGCTTTTGGGTTGGGTTCAAAATTACCACGGCTATCGAGTTAAACATTGGTAGTCATAAAATCAGAATTGAGTTGACTGTACAACACTGGTTAGAAAATAAAATTTAAAAAAAACTAAAATAGAAAATAGTCGCTCAAACAGCAAGCATCAAAAGCAGCATTTTACTTACTATATATATTTATTAATTATAAGTTTGAATCAAAAAAATATATAAGATTAATTATTGGAGTGTTAGATAGTGAAATCTGTTAAGTTGACCTCTTTATTTATATAATCTGATTGATATTCATGATCAGGTATCAAAGTACGAAACAATTAAATTCCCCTTTATGAACAAAAGCACTCGTTTAGAAAGACTTTTAAATTATTGTCACAGATGGGGTCAATTAACACAAATTTCACCAGGGTTCCCACTTAATTCAGAAAAGAATTTTTCCAGGTATTTCAAGAAAATTTCAATGTAAATCCCAACCATATTTTACATATATCACACAAATAATTAAAATTATGTCAAATAATAGAGTTCGTGAGCAAAAAGAAAATATCATTGAATGAGGATCAGAAGAAGGAAAAGTTTCAATAAAATGAAGAATTTTTACAACAAATAATCGTAATAGGTGTTAGAGTAATTTAGCTTTAAATCTCAATAACTGATTACTGTTGCCAACAATTCTAATAGTTGTTATTTTCCAGATATAATGTAGGAATTTTCCAGGGTTTTTGTAACAAAACGTAACTTTCCCTGACTTGACTATTCTCCACTTTTTAGAATTAAAATAAATATCCCTGACAATTCCCGATTTTCTCTGTTCTCCCTGACCTGTGGGAGCCCTTTTTACTGAATGTTTGATTTCTCTAATAAGAAAATAATAAGAATTAATATTTTACAAAATAATAATAAAAAAAAAAAATTTAAAGCTAACAATATAACAAGTTATTCAGAATCGCGGCGACATTGTAGCAGAATATTACAGAGTTAATGCAGAAAGAATTTTCTTTTAGGAAGTAAAGAATTCGGTTTTTCAGAAGTAGTAAAGAATTTTGGTTTTCTGCAGAAATTTATCTCTAAATTTATAATTAAAAGATGCTTTTTTCGCATAGAGAAGGAAAAATAAATGTTTGTGATTTTTCTATTCTTATTTGAGAAGAATGAAAAATATAGGATGAGGAAGTTATAAAAAAATATCTGCGAAAATGTTGAAAGATTTTTTTCCATCCAAAAATTATTCTTGACGAGCCCATTTTGTACTGATATTCTCGTTAATCCATGAAGTATTTTAATCATTTTTTAAGACAGTTATTGCTACAAAATTTTGCTTTGTTTCTTTGAAATCCCGATGTTTTTAATTGTTCAGTTATTATTTATAAGAGCGTGAATTTTTGAAAAATACCGATATTATTACGGCACGCAAAATTCGAATCGCAGATTCAAGACATCATTATTTGACAGGGTTGTTATGCTCCGATATTTTCGTTAATCCACGAGGTATATTTAATTCGCGTGATTTCACCGTCGACCTTTTCTTCGGTACTCACTGCTACAGATTGCATGATTTTAAATATATACTTGAATATATATATTTTTTTATGTGATGATTTACAAAATGCGAAAAAGGAAATAATTAGTGTGTTTGCTTGTTTAGTAAATTGTGAGAATCTCTCCCATGATATTAGAATTAAAAAAAATATTACACATTCACTTAAAAATTAAATACAAGTTTATTTTATTCAAATAGGTTTTTTTGTAAACACAACGTTTTTGTTACTTTAAATTTAGTTCGTAACATGTATTATTAAAAGTATCTAGCAGAAAGATATTAGTGCTAGAGAGATTTGTCGCAGAAAGCCCCAAAAAATTCTGCCACAAGGTTCTAATAAAAATTTTAATGGAACAAAAGGTTTTATTTTGAAGTAAAAATCTAACACATCTTCATTGCTGAGATGTAAATAAACGAAATACAAGACAGTAACTGCACATAAATGCCTTACCCTTCTAATGGATTTACAACAATAGCTCGAGGTTCATCGACGTCTTTTCTAAACAAAGTCCTCCTTGCCTTTCCATAGAGTTGAGAAACACTTATAGTATTCAGAGCTGTATCAGTCCAATACACATTGCCATGTATCCAATCAACAGCAATGCCATCTGGCATAGAAATGTTTGAAACCACCTCAGTTATAGGAAAGCCATAAGCAATGGGAGCACTGGACAAAGGAAAACAAAGACATAAATTGAAATATTTGGGAGGAAAGGTAAACATGCAATGCCAGCATAAGCATTAATTTCATGAGCATACATTGTGTCCTTCCTTCTTTTCTCAATGGCACGACAGCCCCGGGTGGGCCCTGGCCTTTTCAGTCAACTGCCTCCGCCTGGCAGTTGTCTTCCAGTTTGAGACTTTTAAGACTGAAAAGTCTCTTTCCACGCAGTCGGCCCATCTCAGCTTTGGTTGACCTCTGGGCTGAGCCAAAAAGATTATGTTTGTCGAACGCTCTCTGTTCATTCGAATGATGTGACCAGCCCATTTAATTCTTTGGATTTTTACATACTTGACAACATCAGGCTCTCTAAAAGCCCGATAGAGTTCTGAGTTTGAACGTCTCTACCAAGTACCATCAACTTGTTTGCCCCCAAAAATGGATCTTAGGATCCGACGTTCGAAGATTCCCAAGGAATTCTCATCTTTCTGTGTTGTTGTCCAAGTTTCTGAGGCATANGAGCATACATTGTGTGTTTTCCCTTTATATTTAAACATAATATAACAAATATAGTGATTCACGAGTCATTAAATGTATGACACTTGTTGTGATATTAAAGTATTCTATATAAAAAATCAATTCAAACAATATAGCAATAAAATACCTGTATATTTTTGATTCCAGACCATCACTCCATACAACTACTCTTTTTCCGTAATCATAATCTATAGCAACAGCACTACGAAGAGCACTAGCAACTAGAGTATATTCTGATGACTCCAAATGGATTTTTCGTAAATCTCGTCGATTAGCAAACAGCACAGCAGCATGGCCCTCTGCAATTAATGAAAAAATGTTAAGGTTAAAATTAAAAATGATAAAGTCGAATAACAAACATGCATAATAGTAAGACATGGATCAAATAAATAGCAAAGTTAAAAATATACCTTTAACATTTCTTATTAATTTTAAACTAATGTATCAATTCAACATAACTCAAAAAGTCTTTCACGAAGACAAATACTTCATCCAGGAGTTGCTTTCTGGATTGGGCTCAAAATTACAAAGCTATGGCATTGAACATAGGAAGTCTTAAACTCGAAATCAGGTGAACCGTTCAACGATTGTTACAAAAATAAAGAACACTTACTCAACTTGTTGTCACAACAAGTTGAGGAAAAAAATAGCACTTAAAAATATGTAAAAATTTTTACTTTATTCCATATTGTTCGTAGTGTCAGTATTAATATTGCACTCTGTTGCCATGAAATTTAGAAATGAAAAGATCCAATATATGTGTAAACATTTGAATCTAGCTAATTTATTTTAAACTCACCAAGCTCTGTTTGTACAGAGTGTTATCATTTGATATCAGATTTTGTACAATAAGAAGTATTTATCACAGAATAGGTTTCTGCAAAATTTGAAAACTATTTATTTGGATAATAAATTTAATTTTATTATTTCAGTGTGACTAGAAATCCAACCGTAAAGTAAGGAACTCTGCTTTTGATAATATTTAGAAAATAACAAAATCATATCATTTTCTAAATATTATTAAATTATATGAATCTCTGAACCTATTATCCAGAAGACAAATCTTATTATTTAAAAGTGAAAAACAAACAATTAGTCAAATTTCTGACAGTTTGAAATCTAGCAACGTTCATACAAAATTCAACTTATTGTTAAGGTTTTTATTTTCTATGTAAGAAGAAAGTTTCTGCATCAGTTAGCAAGCCTCAAATAGTACACATTTCATTGATTTTTATTACTATTATTAAGTTAGCATTATTAATTTGCTTTTTGAAAAATAATGAGCCTTCCGTAAGAAAACTTACGAAGAACAAGAAAAGGAAAAACTACATTAACAGAATCTTACGTTGTGCTTTACAGCGTCGATGATTAGAAGGTTCAATACTGTAGCCTTCAAAACAGGAACATTTAAAACTGCCCTTTGTATTATTACAGACTTGGGAACAGGAACCATACAGCTCGCATTCATCAACATCTAAAATTTTGCAAAACAAATATAATTAATACTATAAACAGGTATAAACTTTTTATTGAAGCATAACAATGGATTTTAAATAAAATTAACAAATAGATATGACAGTAGTGAAAATTTATATCTAAAACAAAAATAACACTCTTTAATATGATTTTAATTGTAATTTGAAAAAGGTAGAAACAATTAAAAAGAAATATGTTTTGTAAATTTTAGATTTGAATACATTGAGGGGAAAAATTTATATAGATTTGGAAAAAATTCAAATTGAAAAATTGAATTTTTTTAAAATTTAAATATTATTATTTTTCTCCTCAAAGAAAAAGTTCCAAAAACACTATATTTTAGATATCAGTTTAACTGTAAAAGTAAAAAGACCATAGTTATCAACATGGCAAATTAAAAAAATAGTATAAAACAAGAAATCAAAATTGCAAGGAATTTTTTTAAAAATTAAACAAGAAACTTTCAGAAGAATGTTATTAGAATATTGAACATCAGTGACTATTATACAAATGACTAAATGATTTGTAGATTGTTATTAAAACTTGTATGAAAAATGCTTCTCTTAGTTTGTTTTCTTAAAAGACATTCTGAGATTAATTCTTTTGCACTGTCTATCATATAGGTGAGCTAGTATGAAACACACAGATTTTTTGTTCACTCTTGGCCATCACATGCTTGTGACGACGTTCTAGAACATTTTCAAAAGCATAATTTTTGGCACAAAATGGCATTCTATGCCTGTAGGATTTGAGATACAAGTAGATTTGATCTTGTGCTTGAAATGAGAGATATATGACTCACTTCTTCTTTGTAAGCGCAACAGTCTCTTGTAGGCCTTCGCAGCCTCAACAGCTGACAAGTGCCAGAGCCTCTTATCCATGGCAACTCCCTTTCAATTTCTAATCTTTAGGGTTTTCAGGGCATTTTCGATGTCGTTGAGCCATCTAGTAGGGGGTCTGCCTCTGATATATGACTCACACGTATGTTATACAAAATAAGGCAAAAAGAATGTTTCCGAAAGCATGCTTTAAGAGTATAGAGACCATGTTGTATTTTTTAATAGTTAGTGCAATATTTTTTGTTTTGCAAAAGTGTAGTGCATTTGGGTTAAAATTATTTAATGAAATAGCAGTTGGGTTAAAATTGTTTAATGAAATTGTGTAAAAATGTATTTAAACAATAAAATACTTAAATAAAGTTTATAAACAAAAAATATATACAGTACATAAAATTCATTTATTTTACAGAACATTATTAAAGATATAACCTCTACGGTTCTAAACAGGTGCTTGTGGAGGAAGAAACTTTCAGCCTCAGGAATAATTGTTTGTTCGCAACTTGCGTTGCGAAAGGGTTAAAGCAAAACTTATTTTGCAATGAAAAGATTTTTTTAAAGAAACATTTCATGTTTTATCTGTTTAAAATAAGTAACGGTAAAAAATGCATATAATTAAAGCATATAGAGTATGGTAATATTCATATTTGAAAGATTTTACTTATGAAAATAAAAATAAAGTGAATATATTTCCTCTTTTAGAAGGTTACCCAATCTTTGATTGCATAAAAAGGAAGATATATTTTCAGATTTACATAATTCCCTGCATAGCATTCGATTCATATTAACATGCATTCGTACTACAGAAGAGATGCTATAAAAATTTAAAGACATGAAGAATCAGTATTTATACAATTGATAGCTATTTTACCTTCACATGTTTGGTTATCAAGCAATTGAAATCCAGTAAAACAGTCACAGTGGAAACCAATTATATCATCTACACATTTTTGGGCACATCCTCCGTTATTCCTATGGCATTCATTCACAACTGCAGTGGGAAAAAATATTAATCTATTGAAATAATGAAGTAGTTATCATCTATATTTCTTTACATTTTTTTAGGGAAAAAACTAACAGATATACAATCAATATTTTCTTCAAAAGAAAATTATCAGTTTTTCTCAAATTGTAACAAATAATTGCCAAAATTAAGAAGGCTCAACAGATAACGAACATTTTTATTTCATTATGTACATTAAAATCCACATCAAATCTTGAAAAATATCTGAGATTGGTAATAAAACAAAAACATAAGATCATGAATGGTTTGTTTATTCCTTTGCTTTAGAAATCTCAATGCAATATATATGATTTTAAAACTAAAAAATAAATAATAAAACAATATACAATCACATTATTGAAACTTGTATTGAATCTAGAAAATGCTAGATAATTTACTTCTCAGCATTTATATTATTACACAAACAACCTTTCTGTCAACTACCCCTTTTTTTTTAAATAAAAGAAACCAAGTAAATAATGCAAAAATTCAACTTTTAACTAGCATTTTTTAGCATAAAATAGCGTCAATAAAGATTTGTGTCTTCTTGAAAAAATTATGCATTGTATAAATTAATAATTTTGTAAATCTATAAGAAATCCAACAAACTAAAATCTATATACATCAGGATACTTCAGTTATCTATTGTTGCTATATCAATTATTAACTATCTATCTACAACTACTTTAAAAGAAAACTACACAAAAATTTGAAACCTCACAATATTTGTTAACCTAACAATTATTCATTATGTATTAAGGAATAAATTAGAAGAAAAAAAGGAATTTTTATCTTTTATGCATCGTTTTCTTTAATGTATTTATTTGAAAAAATAACTGCAAAAATCTTATTATTCTACTCACTGCATTTTCCTCGTGGTTCATCCTCCCAATTTCCGCAATCGTTTTTTCCATTGCAAGCAAGTTCAATGGGTATACATTGCCTGTTGCCACAATCAAACTCTGTTTTTGGATTACACTCTCTAGGAACCTGGGCTAAAGAAGAAGAAAAAAAAAACATGTGATTTGATACCATAACTTGAAATACAATACAACTAACACAGACAATTAAGACTTTTTGGGAATCTAAGTTAAAAAGAAGTATTTGATAGTATGACTAGGAATAAATTAGACAGATAATTAACACCCTCAAAGAATCTGTATGAAAAAGAACAAAGCACTTGACTTCCTACTATAACTTGAAATAAATAACACAGACATTTAAAAATCAAGAATCTCACCTAAACTGAGCTAAATATGTAAATTGATACTATAAAATAAAGTACACAGACACTCTTGAAAAAATTACAGACATTAATTTTTCTAAGAATCTCTACTAAAATGAACAAAGGATTTGATATAATATTATAACTTAAAATAAATTGATATTTAGTATTGAATTTCATGCAATTAAAAACCATTTGTTGTGCTAATTTTATTGTTCTATGCATGTCATTTAATTCAAAAGCATTACATTCTAATAGAATAACTGACAGGGTCAGATACAAACATTTTTATATTTAAATGTTAAATTTCAAATTTACATGTTATGTTGTGCTTTGCATTCGTGTACTGGCAGTTTAATTGTTCATCAATAAAATGATATTTTTCGCACTTTTAAAATCGACTCTATTTAAAAAATTTAAATAATTAATGTTTGATTTAATATTTCTTCAGTTTTTCAGTTCATTTATTTAGTCTCAGTATTTTAATCTCTATGTTGAATCTATTTACTAATATTATTATAGCATTCTTCATTTAATTTTAATAAATAAGCTTTTATTATAGGGTAATGAACCTAATTAGTTTTAGAAGGCAATTAATAATTTTTGATGAGCACCATAACAATAATTACATAATAGTAAAGTTCAATCTTTTTCTCAAGTTTGTCTACTGTATTATATTTTTGCACAACTAAACTTTCATTGCTGGCATGCTTGCTTCATCCAATTTATGAACAATGATATTTTAAACTTACTGGGACAATCTAGCTCATCAGAGTTATCTGTGCAATCTTTGACACCATTACATTGTGCAGTACCATCTATACACCGATTATTTTTGCATGTAAATTGGTGGCTGCTGCAAGTTACTGTGCCTAGAACAAAACAAAATAGTAGTAAAACTCATTTAAAAGAAATTAACATATGGAAAAATTTTTAATGTAAAAGCAAAAGAGTGAAATATAATTCTAAACTACTTTTACAAAATGCCGATTGCAAAATTCTATTGGTATAACTTTACTAAAAAAAAGGTAAACAATTCCCGAATACGCCAGCCTTAATTTTATTTATTTTTTTTAATTTCAACTAGAGAGACTTGGCAAGTCGTCAAAAGATACTGTTGAGTGAAGTAAAACACTTCATTTAGTTTATTTTTGAAAATCAAATGAAGTTGATGAAAAATATATTTAAAAATCTTCCTTCTCTCTACTCTTTTTCTGATGGTTGAGTTCAGTAAGGAGGAAAAGGCCTCATAATATAGCTGCTAGAGATGTAAAACACTGCAATATGGCTCAGCTGTTTTAAAACTAAATCATTAAAATTACAATAATCATTAGTAACAATAATCATTAAAATTACATAAAAATGAAAATCTAACCTTTATTACAAGGTAAAATAAATGTAAGGAAGAGAAAAAAAATACATGCCAAAGAAGAAAAATTAGAATGAATTGTTTGATTTTCATTTAAGATTTGCAATATCTTGGAATTTTTTTATGACTTCTTTTCATTTCATAAAATTAAGTTTTGGTTGCCATAAAAATCCGATTGAAGATCTAAAACATTTTAGGCAATCATCATTAAATTAAAGTAATGACAAAATTAAGTTAAAATCATCCTGATGTCTTAGAGGAAAATATACAAACTATGCATTATTCGAGAAAAAAAATTTGAAATTTGATTTTAATAGAAAATAAAAAAAAGCATTATGAATTCTGTTTTAGTAGCTAAGCATTTGCTTCAAATGAAATATTCAATAAAATTTAAAACCATAGAAATTTTTTACAGTATTAAAATAATACTTACAATTAGCTTCATCAGAGCTATCTGAACAATCAGGATCACCATCGCAGACCCAATCTAGGTGAATGCATTCTCTAGATTTGCACATAAACTCATTTTTACTGCAAAAGTTCTTCAGAGTTACTTTAGGACACGTAAGTTCATCTGACCTGTCCATGCAATCAACATCTCCATCACAACGCCATCTCTCTGGTATGCACTTCCCATTTGTGCACATGAATTCTGATGCAGAACATGTCACATTTGCTGAAATTTAAGAAAATAATGGAATTAATTTATCATTTACACATTATTCAATAAGTAAATATTTTTAATGCAACTGCCACTTCACATAAAAAATTAATCATTAATAGAATTAGAAATTTCAATTTTTATATTACAGAAAAACAGAAATTACAATAACTTATTAAATATAATTAATTTTTTCTCAGTTCGTTATTGTTTACTATATTTTCTCACAATAAATCTAATACAATAAATTTAATCTACAATCAAGTACAAATTACTTTTATCGATTACAAGTTACTTTTAGTTCATAATTGTTTACTATATTTTTTTAAATCTAAGACAGGAAGAAAAAAAAGTATGTTCTCTTATGAATTTCAAAACAGAAAAACAAATTAAAAAGTTAAATAATACTGAAATTATAGAAACACAGAAATTAAATTACAATAAATAATTTAATGAAAATTACTTTTAGCTTTCAGTTTGTAATTATCTACTATATTTTCTATCCAAAAGATGAAAAAAAATTTGTTCTCTAATAAATTTCAGACAAGAAAAAGAAATTAAAAAGTTAAATAACACAGAAATGACAATAAATAATCTAATACAAATTACTTTTCGTTTTCAGTTGGTAATTGCTTACTTTATTTTTTATACAAAGCAGGGAAAAATGCAAGTTCTCTTTTAAATTTCAGACCAGAAAAAGCAAAGTAAAAGTTGAATAACTAAAACTTTTTAACTCTAATTTTAATTAACTAGGTACTATTTATTATTTAATGTTATTATTATGCCAAAATATTTTACAAACTCATCCTAATTTACTATAGCTTTTTCTCCAATCTATTTTTTGCTAATGCATTGGCTAAAATAAATTAAGTAATTAAGTTTGAACTTACGGCAGTTCCTTTCATCACTAGAGTCTCCACAATCATTGTCTTGATCACAAACCCACCGCTTAGTAATGCACTTGTTATTATCACATGTAAATTCTTCTTCTGTGCATGTTATCTGACCTAGATAAGAGCAAAAGCACCTTTTATTTAACAATGATGCCTTAACTATTACAAAGTAATATTTGTAATATGAAAATTTAACTATTGAAATAAATCTATTTTCCTCTTCCCATTTGTAACTAAATGGATTTAATTCCTAAATTATTAAAAATTCATTCTTAAATAAAATCATCAAAATGAACATGCAATTAAAAAAAGTGCTTAGTAATGTAAATTCTTCTTCTGAACATGTCATTTGACTTATATGAGAGCAAAAACACCTTTTGTTTAAAACTTATAAAGCCATAGCAATTACAAAGTAATATTCTTAATACAAAATGTTAACCGTTGAAATAAATTTATATTCCCCTTTCCATTTGTATCAAAAGGGATGTCTTTATTAAATTCTAAAAAATTAAATACAAAAAAAATCATAAAAATGAAAAAGATTTTAAGCCTTAATGTCAGAGTAATGCCATTCTCCTCCTAGAACTAAATGCTATTTGTTTTGAACCACTAATAGGAAAACCCTCTATCAATAACAATCATCATTATTTTCAGTCTAGCAATCTAAATTTATCTTTGCTTTTAAATTTGCTTGCATTCATTTTTATTAAATACCTTAATAATGTTGATAGTTATAAAATGATTTAAAACTTAGATATAAATTAATGTAAAAAAATATTTTCATTATATCATAATATTTCAACTTTAATACTATCTAAAAAACAAATTAGCAATTCATTATAGGTTATCAATACATTAAATAATAAACTATTTGCATTTTTATGACATGCATACTTTGTCTCCAGCTTGGTTTTGTGAATTTTTGTGGCCCAAACAAAAAAGGTTAAGCATCCTTAGTATAGGTCAAACCTTTTTTCATAATTTTACTCAGGTCAGAGATATAATCAAAATAACTTACGACAATCGACTTTTTCATCAGATCCATCAGCACAGTCTTCTTGCCCATCACATCTCCAAGTAATTGGAATACATAGGCCTGAAGAGCCACAACTGAACTGGTCAGGAGCACAAGTCTTATTTTCTGTCAAAATTTAGAAAAATTTAAATATTTTTCCATCTTCCTGCACAAACTTAAAAGTTTGCAAAAATTAAATAGTATTCCTTATTTTTTTTAACCTTTTAATAGTTAAAAAATAAATAGAAGCTATAATTCTAACCTTTATGTATTTTTTTAAAAAAACTTTTTTTTTTATTTAAATNCCTCCTAGAACTAAATGCTATTTGTTTTGAACCACTAATAGGAAAACCCTCTATCAATAACAATCATCATTATTTTCAGTCTAGCAATCTAAATTTATCTTTGCTTTTAAATTTGCTTGCATTCATTTTTATTAAATACCTTAATAATGTTGATAGTTATAAAATGATTTAAAACTACGATATAAATTAATGTAAAAAAATATTTTCATTATATCATAATATTTCAACTTTATTACTATCTAAAAAACAAATTAACAATTCATTATAGGTTATCAATACATTTAATAATAAACTATTTGCATTTTTATGACATGCATACTTTGTCTCCAGCTTGGTTTTTTGAATTTTTGGGGCCCAAACAAAAAAGGTTAAGCATCCTTAGTATAGGTCAAACCTTTTTTCATAATTTTACTCAGGTCAGAGATATAATCAAAATAACTTACGACAATCGACTTTTTCATCAGATCCATCAGCACAGTCTTCTTGCCCATCACATCTCCAAGTAATTGGAATACAGAGGCCTGAAGAACCACAACTGAACTGGTCAGGAGCACAAGTCTTGTTTTCTGTCAAAATTTTAAAAAAGTTAAATATTTTTCCATCTTCCTGCACAAACTTAAAAGTTTGCAAAAATTAAATAGCATACCTTATTTTTTCTTAACCTTTTAATAGTTAAAAAATAAATAGAAGCTATAACTCGAACCTTTATGTATTTTTTTTAAAAACTTTTTTTTTATGTAAATAGACAACAAACCACAGCATAGATAATTTCACAGTATTATGTCACACACAATTTTCACATTAAAAATACAAAAAAATAGTAATAATACTTTTTTTTTAAAACACTGAACAAAATAATAAATAAAACTAAACAAAAAAAAAAAGAATTAAAAGAAGTTTTAAAAAAAAATAGGTTTGAATTTTCCTGCAACGGGCCTAAAATTACGATTTCTATTTTTTATAATGAGCAAAAAATAATAATATATTCATAGAGACAGCATAAATTTAAAACATAAATAAAGATCAGAATGAAGTAATGAAATTTGAGCGAAGTATAAATAGAAAAAACGTGAATTTTTTCTATCTCACCTGAATGTCATTTAATACAGATAGTTCATTTCATAAAAAATTACATATATATCCCACATTTTTATGTATCTTTAGAAATTAAGACTACATAAAAATATTATACAAGATTTGGCAAACCATAATTTGACTTACGACAATACTTAGGATCTTCATCTGTTTTATCACCACAATCATCTTCATTGTCACATATCCATCTATTAGGAACACACTTAGAATTATCGCATTTAAGCTCATTATCAGAACACGTCCTAAATTCTGAAAAATGAAACAATTTCATTAAAACATTATACACAGTTAAATATATTCATCAACTTATTGAAAATATACTATAAACTTACATGAATGATAATAGAATATCGACAAAATTAACAGTAAATATTCCCTATTTTGAAAAGAAAAACTTAAGAACTTCAAATTTTTATTCTTCACATTATCATAATATAACCTATTTCTGCCCCAAAATGTTTTAAAGTTTTATTACCTATTTCTGTTCCGTTTAGTATCAAGAAATATCCCAAATAATTTTTAGTTGAAAAAGTTTATTTTCTTGAACTATTTTTACTGCATGCGTAAGTCGATACAATTCGCACATGCATAAGAATTTCAGGGTCAGTTTCACTGAATGCAAAAGGACTGCATACGCTAATGGGGAATGGCGAATTGATGGACGAGTTTTTCGTGGTTTAAATACATATCACAGGGGTGTTGACTTTTATTGTTAAACCAATAATTACTCAAAATCACCAATCATATCAGCTGTTAAAAAGTACTCAGATAGGGGCCAGGATGACCTGGTTGGTAGGGCGTTGAACTCGTGTTTTTGAGAACGGAGTTCAAATCCAGCCAGCCACAGGATCCCTGTGTATTAAATGTCAACTGGTGCACTTTAAATCTGTCGGGATCACAGAGCCCTCGAAGTTCCCATAACAAATCAATGCCTCTGGGAGTACTCATCCAGAAGTTCCCTTACCTTCTGGATTGGGTTCAAAATTTCAAGACTATGGAGTTTAGCATTAGTAGTCGTTAACTCAAACTTGTATCGGCTGTTCAGCGACAGTAATAAATGCTCAGATAGAGCAGCGATGGCGCAAGGATAAGGCGATCGCTTTCCAATGGAACTTGCTTCGAATCCCAGCAATGACTAGCCGATTAGAATGAGTGGGGTTTTTTGATGACCCGTCAGAGGGAACATCGGATGGCGAAAGATTTTAAGTTATGATTGATCGTGCGAATGACCTGAGATCGGTCAGTTCATCAGAAAATACGAATCATTAACACCTATATATGTGCTAATGATTCATGATTCACAATGTGTTAATGATTCACTGATCATCAGATCACGAAATATTTTGTGATCTGATGTATGACGTATAAACTGATGACAAATTTACAAACAATCACATATTTTCTAATGCCAAGCAATGTAAATATCAAATATTTTTTCTAAAAAATAAAAGAAAAAAATTATTTTATTTTTTATGTCGACAAAAAAATTTACTCATATATCAAATTCTTTAATCAGATTAAATATCCAATATATTTATTCATTTATAACCTTTTTTAGACCGAGTAAATGGTTAAAAAAATGTCACGCAGACAGAAATAAATAATATTTATTTTACATGTAAGGAACTTGCGGTGTAACCCGGAATATATTTGATTCATTGAATACAAATCAATAAGCGCAATCACTCTCAGAGTTTCCTATTAACGTTATTGTCCTTCAACTCTGATATAACATGATCATTTGAAACAGCTTAGTCAGACATTTATCTGACCGATGATGCCAATGCATCAAGGACGATCAACATCCAAAAGAATCAAATTTGAATAGAGGATTCTTCCTTTATGTAATCAGTATATTAAGGCGTAGAAACTAATAAATTGAGTCAACGCCGAGTAATAAGTCGATATCGATTACATAATATTTTTGTTTTGGTCAAAAGCTGTTGAAAACTAATATCAACATAAATATTAATGCTTAATGATGTGCGCATTAAGTATACCGCGTTGTAACGAAGTCATCGAAATCTTAAGCTCGACGAATTTTGTTGCGATTTAACATGAATTTGATGACATTTATTTCGGTTTTTATTCTCTACGAGATAAGGTAATATGTGTCACAAAAATTTTCATTTAAGTAAGCTACTTAATTACTAGCTTACTTAATTACTTGCTATTTCTTAACTAATTACTTATCACTACCTAAATAATCACTTATTACTTTAAATAATTATTTATTTATTGATCGTTTAAGTGATACCTAAGACTAAATTAACAAGAATACAAATAATAAAATTTACGATTTCCAAAAACAGTAGTCGCAGTGTCTCATTAAAATAAAAAAGAATAATGATTAAAAAATTGATTTTTTTTTTTTTTTTTTTTTTTTTTTTTTTTTTTTTTTTTTTTTTTTTTTTTTTNTTTTTGTTGCTTACATTTTGAAACTGTGCTTATTTGAGTTAATTGGGAAACAAACTGCGCATCTTGCTATTTTCAATTAAAAGTTAAATCTAAAAAGTTTTTTCTTTTTTTATTTCCAATGCTTCCCAATTAAATTCCCAATTAACACTCGTCATTTAGGCATCAGTAGGACAGATTTGTTGCCCTCTCTTTTAGAGGCACCATATTAGTTGGGTCAACGTTGCTTCCACAGCAAGGACAGATAGTACAGAGAATAAAAGAATATCCGTGCCTTGTCCTGGATTCGAGCCCATGATCTTTTCGACATATGTGTTGTATTCCCTGACCATTACACAGTCCGATCATCAAAAATCTAACAAGTTTTAACTTGGCTACCACTTTTTAATTTCTTATGGGATGATGCAACAACTGAAAAATACCAATTGCTTCGCTTTCGCTGCATAAGATTTTATAAAGTCGTCAAGAATCAAAAGTTAAAAATTTGCAGAATTTCATGAAATTTTAACAAAATTTCAAAAATTTCTCCACAGTCAAATTGTTAGGAAATTACCTGCTAAATTTTAAGGAAATTACAATTGAAATATCCAATTGATATATCTGAATTATTTGTTTGTAGTTACTTTAAATCAAATTAACTAGATACATCGAAACGTAAATTTTGCAACCACTAGAAAAAATTTCGCACGAAGCAGAACAAACTGGCATCTCTGATATACGTTTATTATAATGTGTACAGTGTGCAAAAAAATAAACGGACCACCATAAATAATTTATTATCTAATGATCGGATTTTCACGTTCTAAAACTCAATCTTAATGGATCGAAGGGGTAACCTAAAATATTGTAATTAATTAAAGAAAACGATATTTTAAGTTATGAAATCAAACACGAAAACGTACCTTCTCTGAATAAACATACATTTTTTTTCGATGAATTTTGATTTCTGATCCGCAAAATATTGGGAGTAGCCACAATTCAATAAATTGGTACAAATAGTTTGGTCAAGAGGGCGATCCGAACTTTGGACGCCTTAATGCAAATTTTACTTTTTGTGCATTTTATTATATCTCGAGAGCTTCTTAAGCCATTTGTCAATTTCCTGCGCATAATTATAAAAATTTATTTATCCAAAGAAAACGTCATGCAAAATATAACTTTTAGTAAATATTTATTATTTTCTTATAATTTTATCTAATGATAGTCGAAAAATTTTTGTATAGTAGTAAGGTATACAATTTTTAACATCATTTTAAAAATGTAATTTTATATGGCCAAATACAAAATTTGAGTGGAATCGGTTGAATTGCTTTTTCTGAGAAATCGAATTTTAAAAATACGTCTTTTTTTGAGGTCATCCTTTCGAACCATTAAGATTGAGTCCAAGAAAGTAAAGATCCGATTATTAGATCAAAAGTTATTCAGGGTGATCCCTTTATTTCATATTTAGATTTAACTTTTAGGTTGGATTCTAAAAATTGAGTGAGCATTAACTGAGAAAAAAGTAGATATTTCGCATTTCACGTTGTTAGTATTACAGGGCTCCAACTGTCCTTAAAAATATTGAAAGTAGTGACAATTTTCTAATAAAAAAATAGCTACAAATCCTTATATATGACTAATAGCGGTGATACAATTTTAATCCTTGTAAAGGCGTTGCACAAGGAAAAGTTTAGGAACTTTTCGATTAATTTGCTAACTTAATTTTTAATAATACTGTACGTACGTGTGTGTTTTAGTAATGTACATACACAATAAAAAGTAGCTGCCTGAGATATGTGTTTTTAAATGAACTACATTTTTTTACAGCGCACGTACTGTTTGTCTAAGATTGGTACTCTGCCAGCCATTCGTCTAGAGCTGTGGCGGTGACTATGGTAACGAGGTATGATTATTTTAAATAGGGGTGCGGGGTCCCTCTATAGGACTGGTTTCGGCTAGAGAAAAGGAGACCTCTTCATCGAAGCTACCCTTCCTAAAATGCCCTCATCTTGTTTCCATAGCACCAGACTGCCGCAGACTTAGTGGCGGTCAGAGTACATATCTTAGACAAACAGTAGTCACGTTTTCATAGTTTACTTTTTTACCGATGAAAGTTTTCTTAATTTTTTACTCCTTCTTGGTTCGTTTTATGGACACATGAGCATTATAATCAATTTAATAGTTTCATGACAAAAACGTTTCGATAAAAAAACAAGTACATTTATAATGATATCTTCGCATTAATTCCTTCAAACAATTGTTATTTCTTCTATTTGGTATAATTTTTTGTGCAATCTGTTTATAAAAATGTATTTTAAACAGTTTTATATTTTAATCCCAAATACATTTTATAACTACCGAACTGTAGTTATCACATAAAAAATTGACTTAAAATTGACAAAATAACAATTGTTTGAAATAATTAATGTGAACGAATTGCTAAAAATGTTCTTATTTTTTGAAGGAAATGTTTTTACAATGAAGCTATTAAATTAATTCTAATACACATAAAAATATATGTTATCCATAAACAAACACACAAAGAATTAATAAATACTTTTAAAAAAAACTACAACAGTGAAAAAGTAAATAAAAAAATATATGACTACATACACTGTAAAAATTCTTAGTTTATCTTAACACCAAAAATGGTCTCAATTACTTTTTTAACAGTGTGTTAGTACAATAGTATAATTTTTCCAAAAAAAATTCTTAAACAAAAAATTTTAAGAACTAAAATTTACGTGCATATCGGTGATAAAAGAAAAACACTAGTTTTAAATAGTAAACAACAAATTAATTTGCACTATAAATAGCAATATTAAGATTTTCAATTATTTAGCAATATAAAT